TAGTCACCATCGTGTCCTATGGAACGCATTCCTATCAGTTAGTTTCTAATCGTTATTTCACTACTTCGGTTTGACAATGTAAATAAAATGTTTTGTTATAATGAGATTTTTTGTGCTTCTGATCCTCCTCTAAATATATATTTTTTAATTTTATTTTTAAATAATATGATTTCACTTACACCTTAGTCAATTTCATTTTTACTCATTTTGCCCGTTAGGTTTGAAATCGATGTCAACATATTTTTTATAAAATTTATATAAACCATTTTTTTTGTAACTAAACCATCTTCAAGCATTAAATTACTGGCATTTAAAGAAATTAGGTCACTGGTAAGTTTTATTTTAAATAACGAAAATAAATGTTAACATATGAAATTTTTAAACCCGTTTTTCATAAAATTGATCTGTTAGAACGTTTGTAAATCGGGCTATTTTCAGTAGAGAATAGTTTAGATGAGGAATTCTCAAATAAGATTTTTTTTATTTGAGGAAATCTGTAACATCATTCCTAGACCCTGAGGAACGATGAAGTGCTAAGACATCAATCAAGCGGACTGTGATGAAAGCTCTCACGTCGCGAAGACTGTTAAGACCCGTGGACTACTTCTGGTCAGGCGGATGGATGGATGACCAGAGGATGATGAGAACGATGATAGATGAAACGTTAAATGGAGTTAGTTACTAAACGTTAGCTTGCCCAGTGGGCAGTTAAGAATGAAATTGGAGATGTTAGTAGAGGCTACAATCAAATCTATCGCTGGTCATGCTTTCTTTCATTATATTTTTTTTTTTTACGTTTGTTTCCTATCTGGCCATACCTATAGAATGGGAATGTCGAAATTCATACCATGGGTTTGTTGTAAAATAAATTTCAATTCGCTCAGACCGGATTCAAATCAAGGCCACCGCTGGCCATACCTTGTCAAATCACTCAGTCATGACACTTCTCTACTCAGATTTTTTTTAAAACTTTACAAAATAGATTCTATTGCTACCCTAATAATATCTATATTTCAATTTTTCTTATTAGCCAATCTGTTTCTGGTATCCCTAAAATTATTTAATTTTTGTTATTCGAAGTTTCACAAAATTGTGACTTTAACATGTATTTACTCAAAAATATTTTTCTTGAAAACTATCCAAAATATAATCATAAACTTTTTCAGGAAGTTAGAATTTTATTCAAAAAAGAAGGTAAATGATATTAATCTATCTTTACTGTGAAATAAAATTCAATAAAATATTTTTAGAAATTTAAGACACATTTTTTTTTTCCAAAAACCACAAAATCTCAGAACTAACAGAATGATTAAATTCCTTTTAAAATACATATTAACACAGGTGAATCAACGGAGGGAGGCTTTCGGGCTGAAGTCCCTCCCCCAATAATGGTAATATATAAACATGTTTTATAGAAAAAAATATTAATAACTATCTCTTAAAGTATTATTGTTCGTGTAATTACATTTAATAGGACTTCAAGAATCACGTAAACACTATTTCATATAGGTAGTTAATTTCTTTATTTTTTTCAAATTAATTATCATTTTATATACATGAAAAATAAATCTTTCGGGTTGAAGTTCTCCCCAAAATTAAATTCTGGATCACCTAGTGCATATTAATAATATATAGGCAATCAGTTAAATATAAAAAATATTTCGAATTCCATCTCTACCATACGCGCAAAGGTATTGATTTTTCTTAATACTCCTATATTTCGAAAATGTCACCTTTTATTTGGGAATTGGTAAAATAATGATGAAATTTTTCCAATTCCGTCGACTGTTTTCAATAAATATTTTCGTTTCCGCATACACACACGTATTTTCCTTGGCAAATTAAAAAAAAAAATGGTGCGTTCGATTTGACCCTATAAGTCAAGAAGTGACCGTTCATAACATTTAATCACTCTTCAGGAATGAGAATATTTATCTCTTTTTGAAATCAGAATATTTTGATCTTGTTGTAATTATAGGTATATTTGATACATAAAAGAGTCTGTGGATAAACCAACGATATTTCTATAACTATTCTAGCAGAGGTTTTACTAATGTTATTTATTTATTTTTTTTAGTAACAGTATTTGGTAGTAATGTTTATGCTTTAATGAAAAGTTACTAAAACAAAGTTTCTATTTCTAAAATGAGGTATTCTAAAAAAAAGTCTTAATTTCATTTATTACCATCAACAATAATGTAAATATTTATGTTTACCAAACTAATTTAACAAAAATAAAATAAATTAAAATGACAAAAAAATGTACAACGATCAAAGAGGCATTGTAGACTATAGCGAGGAGAAATATGAATAAAAAGCAAACGAGGAAAGCATTAGCCTTTGGAACGCTTGGTTCCTGATGTTTTCGTTTTAATGGCTCCCAAATGATGGCGAGGTGTTTGAAGTTTAGTTGGGTGTATTTCCCCTTTGGCTATTATTTTCATCCAGCCTTTTATGATGCATTTATTTCAGCTCTCTTTAGACTTTGGAATGTTCCATTTGAATAGAAATTTATGGAAATTTGTTCTAGCATGGATGGTATTTAAAACCTGTACCACTACAACCCATAGGTGGTATCAGTAATCGAAATATTCATAATTTCATTAGTATTTAGGTGGTTGAGTTATTCTGGCAAACATTTTTTTGTTATTTATTTATTTAGACATATAATAATCTGTCTAATGGACAATAATTATAGTGATACATGAACGAACACATTCTCACCATATATACAGAAAATATAAAATTAACAAAAGTAATATAATAACTAAATAATTATCAAAAAAACTATGTACAATAAAAAATAAAATAGCCTAAAGATAAGTAAATTAAAAACATGAAAACACATACCTATATACAATTTGGCAAAAATTAAAATTATGATATAGAACAATATAGAAAGATAATTTAAAATTTCATTCGTAGTTTATATTATGAATTAAAATATTTAATTCAATTGTTTAAGCATCGTTTTGGATCCAGATAACGCTTTTGACAAGGTTCGACATGATTTATCGTCAATAAATCTAATTTAACGATTACATGATTTACATTATTTTGTCTTTACGAAATTACAAAAACTGCAGATTCTGATTTTTTAAAAAATTAATTATAGCTTTTAATTACTTTTTCATTCCTCATTAATTTGTTTTCTGTTTTCCTGTATAATAAAGATCTTCTAAAAGATAGCTCAATCATTGGATTTTATGATGTATTATAAAAACAACTGTGAACCGACAAAAAATAAAACCGTCGGAAATCAAAATATAAAGAAAGGTACTGCGATACTCTACTTATAAGACAGGGTCCTCTACTTCCATTGGAAACTAGTTCACATTTAATTATTTTTTCAAACAATAAAAACTTAGAATATCCAGAAATACTTTAATCTCTAATTAGAAGGCTAATAAAATTATGTATTAATCTCATCTTAAAACTCATTGTTAAGAAATGAGTCGTATATTTTCAAAGTATCGATTCCTATGTAAAAATACTCAATGAAACATATGGCGCATTTTTTCAATAACGAACCTCAATATTAAAAAAATGGAGTGAAAATAATTTTTTTTCCCCGAAACCGATCTTTTTTTTTCAAGGTATGCAATGTAACTTGCATTTCTTAAGTATTCCTTAAAAAATAATAATAATAATCAAAAGCATTTTTAACTATTTTATTCTAATTATAATAATTGTATTGTTATATTTTCTCTCCCAAACAAACCTCAATCAACTTTTTTTATGATTAAGCATTCTTTATCTCGTTTTTTTGGCTTTAAATACAATATCGTATAGGTTACGAACTACTTCCCACTTTTGAAGCTAATTGAAATATGTATATAGACTTTTTCTGTTATTGAAAAAAATTAAAACTCGAAGAAGGATTCATTAATACTCCCTGAAATTTTAAATCCAACGGTTTCATAATTGAAAAATGAAACCGATTCGAGGCCTATAGTCCCCCTAAAACTTCCTCAATGGCTTCATCTTATAGTAAACTAAAAATTGGGCCAAATCTGAAACATAAGAAACGTTAAGGTCATTGTGCATGGTTTTATTTGTAACAAAGTAGGGAGCATTGAGGATTTTACGAAGCATTTTGGATTGTAAGGATTGGATACGAGAGGAATTCGATGGTTTAGTGGAACCCCATAGCTCAACTCCGCAAATCCAAATAGGCCTTATTATAACCATGTATATGAGTCTTTTGTAGTTAATTGGAAGTTTAGAGCGTTTGTCTAGTAAGTGCTGAAGTAATCGGAAACGTCGAGCGGTTTCTTATCGTTTCAGTCTGGTATGAATTATTTAAATAAATTGGAGTTTCGTTAAAATAGATACAGACATGGAGCAGGGGTGCATGCCTTCTTTCCAAAAAATTCTATTGTTCTTCTCATCTTAAAACTGCTTTAAATGAATGTAAAATTATTGAAATTTTAATTTAATTTTATCCCCCCTTCTGGGCATCCCTTACGAGATGATTCAACAATAAATTTTGAATGATATCGTTTGTCCTGCTTAATACGAGTATTTACCTATAACGTGCTGATATAACCATTGCTTTTCGGCGACCTTATTTCAATGCATGCAACATACAGTTTATTATATTAAAACTATTTCTACAGCATTGAAGGCCATCTTGGAGCTTTCAAATAATTATACGAACTTGATTAATAATTTTATTTTCATTCTAAATTTGATATACCCCAAAATATTGCCATTGAATCAATTATGTTAAATTAGTTTTTTAAATAGATACGTAGCGTAATATTACAGAATTCGCATTCAAAACCAATTATAATTCATGTCTGCACCTTTTATGAGTTTTTTTCCCTTCTGCTAATTGCTGTCCCTTTACAGATGATTATATATTTTTAGAATTCAATTCTCCATTTAATTATTTAATATTATACCTCCTTGATAAATCATTTTAACTTCTTCGTTGCTACCCCACCCCGTACTATGCACAGTAGCAAACCCATGTGAACCTATCTGCATACACAGACTTAGATAAGCGATTCCCTTCGCGATAGCGGTAATGTAGAGAAGCCCTTAGGCACGGGCGGGTGATTTAGAGCGGCACTTAATGTACTGTTAAGGGCCCGTACCACAACTGAGTCCTTTGGGTCATTATCTCTACGAGTGCATAATGGGTCTTCGCGGCACCCAGCGGAGTCCAAGGTTTTGTCGAGATCATCTCCTTTTCTTATCTGTTGTCATATTTTAATAACAGTAAGAAATTACTTTGGTAATAAAACATATCCAAGATAACATGTGAAATATCCAAATATTTCTAAATATATTAAATCCCTAATAATTCGCGGTACAGACCCCTCTTTATCAAGCTATTAACATTTCCCTAAATCTTCGTGAATACCTCATATTACTTATGTACATAGAATAGAAATAGAATAGAATAGAATATACTATAAGATTGTATAATATATCAATAAAAAGCTAAATATTAAAAAAAAAAATCATGTCTATTATATTAAGTTATAAGAAGTAAAGGTGTATGTTGAAAAAAATAACGTCTTTTAATTTATGTCTAATAATATCGTGGCAATGTATAACATAAATAATAATTTTATTTATTTAAATTTTAAAGTCTCGGAGGCTTGCTAGGTTTTTACTGGAGAAATTATAGCAATAAAAAAGCCATTCAAATCATTCTTCATTCAATCATCATTCAAGCCATTCTAGCTAGCCATTCAAATTACCCGACTTAAAACTAAACTGGCCAAATAAATAAGACCATTTGGTAGCTACTAAAAAAGAATGGTAAAAAGAATCATTTTAATCTCTTCAACGGGGTCTCTGCAAATGAACAAACAGACCATACAGAAATTATACCAAGAAATCCAGGAATAACACCGGTTATATCAATTAACGAAGTCCCTTTAGAAGCCTTCTTAAAACAAATAAAAAAGGGAGATTGGGAAATGTAGCAGAATAAATGGGAACTAAAGAATCTAATTTAAAGGGAATAAAAAGCAAATATTCCAAATTGGAAACCTCTAACCCTTTCTCTAGGAATGAAAAAACAGTCCTCTGTAGATGAAGTATTGATATTATACAGTTCTCACATGCTTATATACTAAGAGGACGTTTACCTGCAACCTGTAAGAGTTGTAATGTAGCAAGGTTCAGTTAAACATATTTTACAAACTGTCCTATATTCAAAATTATAAGAAAACAATTGGAAATGACGCCGAATGTAAAAGAAAATTTAAAAGACAGCCAAAGGTGTAAAAAGAAATACGAATTCTCAAAAAATATTTAACTCTATAACAGAAATTAAATTGTAGGGGTTGTCAATAAGTCTGCAGGGTAGAGGCAACGAAAATAAATAAATAAAAAATAAATTTTTAAAAAATATTTGTTCATGATATTTACACAGGAAGGAAATGGTCCGAGGTAGCGGTCATAAAAAGTCTCAATAGTGGCAATACAATTTTATTAAAAGCCAACGTTGTGGCCCGACTTTGCAGGTCTTCTTCAGATATATGTGTTCAGCTAGGAGGTTCACTTAGAACTGTTCTGAAACTCCTAGCTGAACACACATCCCTGAAGAAGACCTGCAAAGTCGGGTCGAAACGTTGGCTTTTAATAAAACACTCTTGCCAGAATTGAATCTTTTTATGACCGCTACCCCGGACCATCTCCTTTCTTTATAATGCAACGGTCAATTATCAAATATTCAACATGATATTTACAACTATATTACAATATAAATACATGAAGTTGATGTGTACACAGGAATATAATCACATGAAAATGCTTGTTGAGAAACTACCCTGTGGTATTACTCTAATAATATGTCTACTTAATGATATCATGATGCCATTTCTTTTCAAACGAGAGTTATGAAGAATCGAAGAGGGAGCTTAGCAAGGTTAGAAAGAGGATTAGGATGATTATGTAGTTTATTATGGAAGGACAGATACTTGGATTGGGCCAAATCGAAAACATATGGAACATTAAGGTCTTTATGGATTATTTTATTTGTGACTAGGTTAGGAGCATTGAGGATTTTTACGTAGGATTTTGGATTGTATGGATTGGATACGAGAGAGATTTGATGGGTAAAAGAGAGATAAAACGGTAAGAGAATGGATATTCTGGTGTTGTTGTTTGTTTTTTTGGTAAAATAAAAAATAAATATTTATTTTAATAAATTTCAAAATAATAAATCTCACTTTGAATTTTCCTCTTTTATATCAAGACAATCTATCTGAATTCCTATTGAACCTCAGTGGTTGAACTTGAAAAAAAAAAAAAAAGATATCCCTAAGATGCACCCTGTTGCGGAGAGATGCTATCTAAACTCCCATCTCAAGATCGCAAGACCACTAATGACCCTGCGGCCATTACAAAGTAGCCGCAAAGCGCAAGTACCTTCACCACCACTAAGCCTTTCACAAGCCTACTTTCCAAAGCCTGTGGTCTGTCCCTGGTCACGATCCCTCGCTGAGGTGGCGGCCTATTCTTCTCTATCCGCGAAAAAAAAGCTTTGAGATTGACGGTTCCAATTGTGCAGTATTCTGCGCAACAAAAGGGGATGGCTATGCACGAGGCGATAGTACAAGGTATTATGACTTTCTCATGCAATATCGACACTATTTATCATAAGGTATCATAAATCTCGCTTTCAGGAGTAATGGATTTTGATGAATCATATATCAAACAAAAGGGAATTTTATGAAAAAGTGACAAATCATAATAGCATCCACCGGAAATTTCAAGGAAAAAAAGTTAATTAGTTATGAAGGAATACAAACTTTACTTGCGAATAACTCAAAAATGATATCTTTTTGAATTAAAAACTTCTTTAGGCGCATTTTGTACTTTTTTTGTGGAGAGTGAATTAGATTGATCCGTCAGATCTCCGATGTGTAACGCTCGGATAAAGTCGGCTGGAGTCCACTAATTGAAGTGTTTCTATACATCAGGAAAACTAAAAATCAGAGCAGCAGAGTTCATCATTTCATCCTCTTTGTAATGTGCTATTATTCAAAATTGTATCTTGACGCGACGACGCGTTAGAGAGGCGAATAGGAAAAAATAGTATCGATAACCAAATCCTAACGAGTTTTATAGAACATGGATTAAAATATCTCAAAAAATAAAAATCGGACATGCATAATGTAAACAAGGGAATCGTTTATCATTTCATCCTCTCTGTAATGGGCTATTATTCAAAATTTTATCTTAATGCGAAACCGTGTTAGAGAGGCTAAAAGAGAAAAATAGTGTCGAAAACCAAATGATAACGAGTTTTATTAAAGATATCGATTAAAATATCTCAAAAACTAAAAATCGGACCCGTATACTATAAGCGAGAGAAATGTTCAGCACTTTATCCCCTTTTTAATGAGCTATTATTTACAGATCATATTTCATATTATTAACCTCGTCTTGTTGATGTTAACACTTTTATCGTGTGATCTAAAGCACATACCTTTGCACATACGCTTGCATGTTGTAAGCGAGGGAATTGTTCACCATTTCATCCTCCCTGTAATGTGATATTATTTATAATGATATAGAGATGGTTGACCGTGATATAATCGGGAAGGGGGAAGGGAGGTGCGGTCAAATAAATACTAAATTTTTAAAAATTGTATTTAATTAAAAATACTATTTTTTTAAATTTAGTATTTATTTGACCGCAACCTCCCTCCCCCCACTCCCCATCATTTCCTTCTCAGATATTATTTATAATTTATATTTCATATTATTAATGTTGCCTTGTTGATGTTTTCAGTCAAGTCAACATATTATTCAGTCATTCAAGATAAAAAAAAAACATTTTACTACAACAATTCATCAAAGAAATTTCGAAATAAATATTATCTCATTACAGTCATTATGGAAGTTTTGTAGTATGAAATCCAATTATAATGTAATATAAGGATAATATGGATGGTATATTATTATTGTCTAACGAGTAAAATACCCAACCACATCCATGTAATTGTGAGGCACGAAATACAGAAATATTTCTATCAATAAATCTAAAATACAGCATTACATCGAGTCCCTTTGTAGCCGTGTAAAGCAGCCGAATTATAACGTGATTGATCGAACTTCGAACATTTTTTTTTCCTCTGAAGAGAGAAATGTTACAACGAGCGGAATCTGTAGAAGACGTATAGAAAATTGGAAATAAATGGCTTTAAAATGGAATTAGTAAAATGGATGACTACAGAATCGAAGGGGGAATAGCGTCAGGGGCAGAACGGGGCTATATAAATGACCCCGCTGTCTGACTCCAACACAGATTTATCGAATCCGTTAGCCCGAGCAGGAGTCAGGAACCGAACCCGCTGCTGTACCGACCTAACTAACAGCTAGCCCGGCCGATAGGAGAATTAGTATAGCGAGGGTGATATAGTAAATGGACGTAGGATATTGAAAATAATTATCAAGGCATGATTATAGACGAAACACTGTGACGTATAAATGACAATATACAAAGTATTCCGGAAGTAGAGGAAAATGTTCAAAGGAGCTATAACAGACCTGGAGAGCTACAAAAAAGTTTATAATAACAATAGTCCGATTTTTTCCTGCAGAAAAGTAGGAAATGTAACTTGTTTTTAATCTAGTCACGTTTTTGTTGAAATGCAAGTGATAAATTTAAAAAAAATAAGTTAAGTTATTAATAATAGCTTCACATTAAACTAGACAAAATTATTTTTATTATTAACGGTGTAGAGATGGTTAACCGGAATACAATATGAGAAAGAGTTGGTCGAAGGGTGCGGTCAAATATATACTAAATTTTTAAAAAAATAGTATTTTTAATTGTTTCGCCCACGTTTCAACCCTCCTTGCAGGTCTTCATCAGGGCGTGGACAGTCTCACTACACCTGTTTCAATTGCCAGTCTATCAACTGCCTTCTGCAGTGCCTGATGCAACTCCCTGATGAAGACCTGCAAGGTGGGTCGAAACGTCGGCGAAAGAATTAAAAATACTATTTTTTAAAAATTTAGTATTTATTTGACCGCATCCCCGGCCAAACTCCTTCTCATATTTTTATTATTAATTATTTGGTTATATTTGGACGCCGTATGCAACTACAAAGGTACCTTGTTGAAATTCCATCAAAATATATCTGTAAATATTATGTTTTTTTTAGACGTGTGTGTAATGTTAAAGATTGCATTATTACAGCTGCTAGATTGGTACTAATTTTGCATCGTAAGTACATGTTTCAAGATTGTATTGTTTTAATATTTCTGCAAAAATTTTGTTGTTTCAGAAAAAGGAACAAATAATAAAATTATCTTAAAATGAAAGTAAAGTTTTTCACTGTTAAAACCATTTAAAGAGGAATTTTGAACAAATAAACTGTGCTAAGTATTTAAATTTTAAGTATATAAACTGTACTTTTTTTTTAAATGTTATTTATTATTCGATTTTTTTTTTTTTTTATCATCCTCCAAATATACTATAGATACCTCAAGTTTAGAATAACTTCCATGTTTAATAAGCTTTAAGTCCATATTAATAAAGTTGAGGCTCATCTTAAGTTCTGTAAAGAAGTAAACTGATGTGATATTCTGTCTCCTAAAAGTTTTTTTGTTTCTTGATGAACAAATGTAAAAATATAAAAACTTTTCTGAAATAGGTTGGATAGTCACACCAGAGTTTTTTAAACAGCTTGAGTTTAATTTCAATTTATTTCGTAATAAACCTCAATATAATTAATATTTAATTACAGTTTATTAAACAAGGAGGTTTTTCTATAAGTTTTATACCTATAGTATAATTGGAAAGTGATAAAAGTAATCCCAAACAAAAATGACTTTTTTCAACCAGTACTTAGTTTATCTGCTAAAAAATCTCTTTTAATATTTTCAACAATAAAACACTCTACTTTGGTTTAAAATCTGTAGTTTACTGTTAAATAATCGAATAAATTTGTATGTTTTTACTTTTCGCTTCCTATTCAACAAGAAACGTGACACTTAAAAAAACAAAAAACTCGAAATTCATACTTTTCTGCAGAAAATCGGACTATGGTTAACATGAACTTTTTGATATCTCTTGAGTTTTATTATCACCTCTTTAAACATTTTCCTTTAATTACTACATATTTTATACATTGGGAACATCAATCGACTTTTTTCGCTCAGTATTAACCCATAATATTTTATATCAGAGTAGACAAAACACAATAAGAATTTTTATTTTTTAATCCAAACTTCTGTAGAAAAAAAACAAGGTTTATTGAAAAAGAATATAAACGAGAAAAATTTTCTGGATTTTTTTTATTGTCAAGAGGGCGTGGAAATGTAGATAAAGCAAAATAAAGTTTATGAATTATGAAGTTAGATTACTTTTTTGAGCTGAGTTATCTGCTTTGCTTAGTGTGCTCGTATATCTAGCTCTCTCAGCTAGGGATAACTTTTTACTCTTCCTGGAACTTTTACTTGTTCGAGCTTAATTCAGTAAATTTAACTAAGAACAACTTTAGATTGAAAATTTCCAATGCAAAATCGGTTAAGAGACAGTTTAGAAAAAGGACTCGGGAGGGGGTAGTTGGATAGATCTGTGAAAGACAGACGTTGAAACTCGTTCAACAAGATTGCTCGATATTCAAAACTATAAAAAAGAAATTAGATGTGGTTTCATATCGGAAAGAAATACTATTGATGATAAAAAATAAAAATAAAGTAAGAATAGTAAAAATAATAATAACTAAAAACAATTAAAGTTTTAAAATTCTATAACATATTTAAAACAAAGTTATTGCCAATGATCCTACAAAAGACGCCCTAATATAATATACATTAAACCATCCCGTGTTTTTTTTTTATTCATATTCTATACCTCATCTTCTTTTATGAACACCAAATAAAATGGTAAGGTTGATATAATAATGTTTATTTTTGACTGATAGTATTTATATCGATATTGCAATTTGACTTTTTTTTCGGGAAAAACGACTGCAAAAACATCTGATTCAACAACCAAATAACGAAAACCAACTTTTTTAAAGTGACCTGCTCATCCACAAAGTATTTTAATGTGTGTATTTTTCCAAAACGTTCTGTATTCCGAACGTTTCAGTAATCCAAACACTCCCTTGTAGCAATTAGTTCGGACTACTGAGATTATCCTCTAAATTATAATCATAATTAAGGTGTATAGTTATAAAGTAATAATATACGATTTTAATATTATTATTACTCCGATCCACATATTTCCCTGATCCTTGGAAAATATCTATTGTCAAAATGATCCACAAACCCAAAAAGCCACCAGGATATCCATCCTCTTACCGTCCCATCTCTCTGTTACCCATCATGGGAAAAATTCTGGAAAAACTAATCTTAAAACGCCTGTACCCAATCCTAGATTCTAATCACATAATTCCAGATCACCAATTTGGATTCCGCTCCTCCCATTCCACTATACAGCAATGCCATCGTGTGGTAGACGTAGTATCCTCTGCATTGGAGCGCGGTAAGTACTGTACATATTTCATAAGCCTTTCTCGATGTTGAACAGGCGTTTGATAGAGTTTGGCAC